TGGGGAAGAAGGATCACAGCCGGGGCGACGGACACCCCCACATGCCTCCGCATTCAAGCTTTATACGTCCCCGCATCAAGATCATTTTACCCCGTGGGCAGTCGAGCGCGCCTATGGCCGGAGAACGTCAACTGCATCCTTGCGGCGGTTCTGATGCTTTTCCCGTGATGGTCTTGGGGCGTTCTGCGGATGACGTTCGTTTATCGGTCCTAGGATTGCGCCTAGGCACGAGCCGTGATCAAGCGGTGTCAAAATTGGAACACAAAGCGACGAGCGTACCGACACGGAAAGCCTCAGAAACCCTCCTGACCCCGGCTCATAAGACGAGCCTCTGCACTCCATATGGTCTTGAAAAACTTCACTGTCATCGCTCTTCGGGAGAGCAAAAGGTCCGGCGGGCACATCCTTGTTCGAGCTCAGGTGAGATCTGACGCCAATGCAAGCGCCCCTATCGTTAAGACCCCGTATACCACAAACCGCTTGCTCCTATGAATGCTGTCGTTCAACATATATGGGCAGAAAGGAGAGTACCAATTAGAATGCGATAAATAGGGACAGCGAAATTTCGGGGTACAGTGCGCGAAGTTAACGTTAACCGTGAAATTGACCACCCTCCGCGCAGCGCGCGATGAGAGAAAAATTGCCTCGTGTGACTTGGGATCGGGGGTCCTGACGCCGTCTTAGAGCGCTTGCTACGAAATGACGTGGACCGCTGTCCGATTTCGATTTTGGCGCCGTGCTCGCCATTCGAAACGATGTTGGCACTACTGGCCGTGTTCGCGGCAGCTGCTTCACTGCTACTGCTACGACGCTACGTCCTTGATATAAGAACACGAAGCAATCAGAGGAGACAATCCGTGTTCAAGCAACTGGACACGAGCGGAGACAAGCGCGTTGTCGGTTTCTTCCATCCGTACTGGTGAGTGCTACACGGCCGTACCTTGCACAATCTCTTGTTCCTGATCTTACGAAGCCTGGAAGTAATGCGGGGGGCGGCGGCGAACGCGTACTATGGACTGCCATCGCGTCCATGCAACGCACCGAGCCCGACGTGATCAGTATCGTCTACAGCGGAGACATTGACGCTTCTAAACGGGAGATTATTCAGAAGGTCAAAGTGAGTCTCTGGATTTCATGCATCTTCCGACTCCTCAATGTACGTCCTCTCGCAGTCTAGGTTTGACATTGTTCTCTCCCCGGACACCCTCCACTTCGTCTGGCTTCGGAAGAGACATCTCGTGGAAGATGCTACATGGCCGCGTTTCACGTTGCTTGGACAAAGTCTTGGATCAATGGTGCTTGCTTGGGAAGCAATGAACGCAATAATTCCAGATCTCTTTATCGGTAAGTAACTCTTGGTACTCAATGCACGACGTAGCTTGAGCTGTTCTGTACAGACACGATGGGCTACGCATTCACATTCCACGTCGCAATCCTCCTCGGCGGTATCCCCGTAGGCGCATACGTGCACTATCCAACGATCAGCACCAACATGCTCGCTCGAGTCAAATCCCGCAAGGCCGGGCACACGAACTCGGACGCCATCTCGTCCTCGTCTCTCCTCAGCCAAGGCAAGCTTCTATACTATCGCATCTTCATGTACTACTACGCCCAATCGTTGCGGCGCGCGTCCTTCCTCATGGCCAACTCATCCTGGACCAAGGGCCACGTCGACTCAATCCTGCAGCACAGCGACACGCTGCTCGACTCTGTGCACCTTATCAGTCCTTTTGCGCTCCTGCGCCTTTATCTGCAACCCAGCCATCAGCCTCCAAGGGAGGCGATGATTGTCTACCCGCCCTGCGACACCCGCGAGATGGCGACGTTCGCGCTGGAAGCACGGGAACCGGTCGTCCTGAGCATCGCGCAGTTCAGGCCGGAGAAAGACCACAAGGCGCAGCTGCGTGCGTTCGAGACTTTCGTGCGCAAGCATCCCGAGTACAAGGCGCGAGGTGTCAAGCTCGTGCTCATTGGTGGAAGCCGCAATGCCGAGGATGCCGCTCGCGTCGACGGGTTGCGCGACTTCGCGAAGGAACTCAAGATCGAGGTGCGTCCTGTTCGTTGTGTCTGTCTGTGTTCCGCCAGCCTTAATGGTCGCGGCAGGAGTACGTGGAGTTCGTCGTCAACGCGCCTTACCCGGAGATGCTCCGATGGCTATCTCGCTCCAGCATTGGTCTGAGCACGATGGTCGACGAACATTTCGGCATCAACATCGTCGAGTTCATGGCAGCAGGTGTCATACCAGTGACCCACGCCTCTGGCGGCCCGCTCAACGACATTGTTGTGCCCTTCAACGGCAAGCCCACAGGTGCGTTTCGCAAGCCGGCTTCGTCTGAGTTACGCCTCGCTGAACGTCTGCTAGGCTTCCACGCTACGTCCCCGGACGAATATGCCGATCATTTTCATACCATCTTTAGGATGAGTCCCGACGAGGAGCTCGAACTACGTCTGCGTGCACGCACTTGGGCGGTGCAGCGCTTCTCCAACGAGGAGTTTGAGAAGGGATGGAACGACAGCGGGTGGAAGAAGTGGCTGAACACCAGCGCGTAAATGATGCATGGTTAGCATCTAGTGCATCTCAAGGTAGCTTAGTTGATCACCGTTTAGCTTGTCCGCATACTTCTATAGCCCTCGTTCCAATTGCAGATTGAGCCTTAGAGCTCATACACTGCGTTCCCCATCTAGTTGACCCTCACCTACAGTATGATGAACTGTATATACGATCGGCGTGACTATCGAAAATGACTACTACAAATGTTGTAGCGATGTTGTCACATACCTTGCGTCTACATTTGTAAGTCCCGTTTAGCTCAGTTGGTAGAGCGCGTCACTAGTAATGACGAGGTCAGTCGTTCGAGTCGGCTAATGGGAATTATTTTGTGATGTCGAAGTGTTTTTCTTTCTTTGCACGATTCCTCCCGCTGCCCTGACTTGTCAGAGGTCGATTCGTAGGCTTATCAGGCTCCAGCTGTTTTTTTTGTTTACTGTGCATGAACGTTTATTGTCGTTTACTGTTTCTGTGTGTGTAAACGAAGTTATGTAAACTTGGTGGAAATATTTATACACAGTAAACATACAGTCTCTTCTTATCAATTGTAGAAGGGTGTAATATCATGCTCCCGCAGTGTTCATAAACAGACTTAACCTGTACTGTACCGTGAGTACCTCCTGACCGTCACATCACGGGCAAACGAGCAGTTTTCCTCTTTTCGTTCTTCTCATGATGATCCTAGGTTCAAAGAGCACCGCAGGGTTCAGAAAGCTAGACCGAGCTTGGGGACCTCAAACGGCTCTCTGATCTCCCTCCACGCCTCCATCACCTCCCTCTCCTCACCCTCAACAGCCTATACGCTCCTGACTTCGTTGTCGCTGGGGAAGATGCTGCTCTCGACGGGACAGATGGTACCGTTCTTCGGACGCTTGCCTTCTCGGAAGCACTCACATCCACTAGGCCATGTAGTAGTAGCAGAAAGCAAGAGCTTCACGTGCAGAGCACCCGCAGCGGCCACTGCTCCGCGAACTCTGAGTGCTCGCGCATCTGCACGAGGTGCTCCTCGAGGTCCTCGGCCGTGTCGGCAGCACGCGGGGCATCGGTGTCCATGCACGCGATCGCGGTGAGCGCGTCGGGCGTGGCAATGACCGGCGGGCGCGGGTCACCGGCGTACGTGCACGACATCAAGTAGGCGTCCGCACGGTGACCCGTCGCCGTTCTCGAGCTGCGCGAGCGCGTTTAGGACGAGGCGAGTAGAGCTGGCCGAAGAGCGCGAGCCGCGCGAGCTTGTAGTCGACGGGGACGTACTCCTTGCGCGTCTCGTTTCTGTACACCGGCAGAGGTTGTTTCTTAAGGCTGTCGAAGATGGCTGTGGGGCGGGCGTGCACCTTTTCCGTGGTGGATTCGTAGAGCGCGCAGTTGAGGGGGCCGGCGGCGATACAGCCGTCGAGGATCGTGTGCAGGGCTAGGTCCGCGTCGAGCAAGTTATTGGACCAGAGCCTAGGACGGTAATTCTCAGAGTCGACGACACCTGCAGCAGTAGTTAGCCAAGGGTAATCCTTACAGAGTGTAAGATACTGCACCGTCAATAATCAGACGTCCTACGTGGTCCTGAGTTTGCGTTAGCAGCAAGAATAGTGCATGTCTACTGCTTCAGCAACTGCTTACTAGGAACATGGCAGCAAATCTGACGACACAAAGGTGAGGTTATTTCTAGGGTTCCGTACCTAACAATCCACATTAGCTATTGCAAGCGTCCCACCGGCTGCCATGATGTACGAAAACCCCCAGTGCTGAATACTGTCGAGCCCATGGGCCCGCATGATTTTCAGCATGTCCCTCTCAACCAGCGCCATGCTGACATACTGCGCAGATCCTTTCACCGTCTGGTTCACCAGCATCCCGAGCGCCTGGGCCTTAGCCCACAACCGTGGCACGGCGTCAGCCGTCGTGTTCGGCGCAGGGTCCTCCAGCGCGCGGAGATGCCACGCCACGTCGCGTCCTCGACCTGGTCCTCGAAGACGACAATGGGGGGCGCCGTGCGCGAGACGCCGCTACTGCTTGTCAGACTCGGGATGAAGGCAAGAGTGATGGAGAGGACGTACCGCGGGTCGAAGCCGACACCCAAGCCGCTGGGCCCGCCTGTGGCGCACAGCACCCATGAATAAGTGGAAGGAGCACGGAAGCGTGACTACATGGCTCATACCAGGGGTGAATAGGATTGTAGTTCCTGTTGCCCGGGAGATCTTGGACGGGACCTTGATGAGCGAGATCACAACCTGTGGGCCGTCTGGCACAGCGTACTAGTCTAACGGCACCTGGTGCTGTTCAGCGCGAGATCGTTCGAATACGAGAGAGAACATGCCATGATCCGTGCGCATTGTGGTTGATTGTAGCGCGGCATCCACACCAGCGAATTCATGCTGCTGGGCAGCACCTGCTCTAAAGTCTCAGTGGGTTGAATGGCGTATGGGTGAGGATAGATATGCGCTATTCCAAACGAGCTCTGGGTCTTCCGATGCAGCGTGAACGTCCTATGTCGAAGGGGACGCGTACTCTGCCGCCAGCGCGAAGGTTCCCGCGAGCAACACGACGTGCCGCGAGACCGCCCGGCGTGAGCCGTTTCGAGATTTATTCTCGAGCAGCGTGCGAGGGTCCTTGGAGTCTTTTACGTTTATGTTCCATGTAGGCGGTACGGACGAATGCGTGAGCGCGGACTGGGTCACCTGGCTAGGCTTTACATGCGGGGACATGACCGCAACCCGGTGCGGCGCCCAGGAGGGCGACGACGCGACAATGATTCCACGAATGCCGTATGCATTGCTGCGTGAGATAGCTAGTACGGAGGACATCACGCGAGGCATGGCCGTGGGCGTGTGTGTGCCCTGGTCTGTTGGCAAGTGCACTGGGCCTGCAGCTCTGATGGCTCAGCGCGCCCGCCATCACGCGCCAATGGCCTGATTAGGCGCATGCCGCTTCTCTGAGACTCCTCACTCTACTACCAAGGCCCTCATCCGGTCTACGATCCGGCAGACCCACTTGTAGCAGATACGCGTGTAACGACGTGACCCACGCTCCCGAGAGCGGCCATCGGGAACTGCTTCGACTGAACAACGGTACCCGACGGTGTTCACACAACGGGCAAAACCCGCATCCAGTTTCGGGGCGGGGCGCGACTGGACATCAATGCAAGTCAATCTCCAGTTACATATTCAGCTTGCCCGTGGTGTTAGCACAATCCCGTCTGAAACGTTACTTCAGGACTCAAACCGTACCTCTTTGGGCTGTCCAACGTCTGAGTCGCCATCAAAGTCAGTCTAAAGCCCTGATCTGCAACATCTCGAGTCGCAACGGCCGCAAGTGTGATGAGACACGCCCCACCTCGCGAAGCCCTATATGCATGATGATACACTACAGGATCGTTATTGCGCATAGGTGCTTGCTGGCCTGCTCCCGGGACTGCCGCGGCCACCAATGCCGACCCTAAACGAGTCAAACTTGTGTAAATAGTCGAAATAACTCATTTTAGTTTTTATGTAGCCGCTATCTTGTCTGGGCTGTCTGATTTTGTCTGATTATGCCCAATTTCGTGAATTTACTTGCCTTGCGGCGCCTCGATCACCTGCGGCGCGCGAGCGCATCACTGGACAAGCGCGCTACGGCGCTGTGCACGCATCATGGGCTGACCGTAGGTCGGGCTCGGCGAGGGCAGGCCCAAACGAGATTAATTACTTAATTAGGAAGCTACAGGTACACGGTATACCGACGGTGTACGGCACAGGGGCTGAAGTCACCGGCGGGATGTGCGGGCAGGTGACCAGCGCCTGTCGGGCAGGTCACCCTGGTGCATCCCTGTACTCGTAGTCCATATCGAGCGAATCAGACTCACGATGGTTCCCCGCTCACCCTAACTGCGCCTGCGCCTGCGTCCGGCGTTCTCTATCCCTCGTTTGTCTATTTACCCGCTGACCACAACTTCACTTTCTATTTTATTACACACCTTTTCGCTCCTTTTCGCTCCATTTTGCACATTCTCCCACAGTTTCGCACATTTTCGGGCGTCCCTCCAAGTCGTACCCCCTTTCCGGGTGCTCGCGCGCCCCCAGGTCCCTTCCCCCATTTCCTCTATATTATCTGATTTTATTTTAGGTAGCCCTTCCAGTGCTCGGGCGTGCGTCAACGCCTCAACGCGACACCCTGGAGATATACAGGTCTGTTTTCAGGCGCCTTTCGTATGAACATCAAGGCGCCAATTCAAGTGTCGGTCTTCGTCAGCCACCATCAAGCCCCTCCGACGAGTGTTTACGCGTTCACGCGGGAAGGCTCACGGCGCGCTTGCATTAACAAGGAGACGGACCACCTCATGGCCGCGGGTCTGTCACATGTCCTGGGCGACGTGCATTTCCACTGGACGAAGCTCGGCAGCCAGCTGCCTGCGTAGTTGCCATGCATACGCACGCTCTCGAGCCAGCCTGGGGGCACGGCCGTTAGCTCCAGCTTGGACTCGGGTTTGGCGCTGTCCTCCGCGGGCTCGTCGGGTTCGTCGTCAGTTGCGAGCAGTCGATACACCGCACCTGCGCCCCCTGTGGTCGCCGCCGAAGTTATTGCCGGACGCGGTTGACGCGGCTGACCTCGTCATTGAGGACCTGCACGCGGCGCTCGAAGAGTCAGCGCGCGAGCGTCGGTGCGGCAAGCCGCAGGGCCTGTGCAAGGTGTACCGCGAGTACTTCGTACAGGATGGGGACGGGCCTAACCGCGGAGAGGTCGAAGCGGAGGCACACGGCGAGAACATCGATGCGGCTTGCTCAGTCGGTGGAAACTTTCACACCAGTGAACATGCGCCAGGCGAAAACTGTTAGCATACACCCAATATTCATGGAGGCCGGAGACGTGCACCGCCACTGTCTTGCCATCCCTCTTCATCCTGCTCCCAAGGCCCTCATCCCGTACGATGAGGACTGCAATTCGAATGAAAATGTTAAAGGAACGGAGAAAGGGCAGGAAATTTGATTGGTGCGTCGACAGGTCTTACCATCACAGTATTAGCGCACGTAGGTTGATTTTCTTTCTTTCATTTTCTCTGTACGCTTCACGCCGCAGGCCCGAAACATATTAAATGTCAGCTGTGGCAGATAGGAACGTGAAAAGCGGTGGCGCCGCGTGCGATGACGTGACCGACACCTCCGAGATCAGCGGCCGGGTGCTACTTCGACTGGACGACGGCATTTGACGGAGTCTACACAATGGGTAGCACCCATACCCAGCTCCAGCACGGGGCGCGACTAGACATCAATGCATCAGCATCATCTCCAGTCACCCATCCAGTTTGCCTGTTTTTTCAGCGCAATCCCGTCTGAAACGTCGCTTCAGGGACTCGAAACCGCACCCCCTTA